CCCCCCCCCCCCCCCCCACTGCAACGGTTAAGTGCTTGTTTTTTGTCTAGGTGCTAAAATAACAAAGCTATATTCACCCGAACTGTGGAATTGGCTGGCTGTCACATAACTCCCTCTAGCCTGTCTCCTCCTCCAATGCAGTGATAGTAAGTCCCTCAGTGTCCTTATGTTCAATACATTTTGTATAGGACGTGATGACTCGCAGACCTAATGCCGCTGGAGTAGAGGGGGAGAGAGGCAGCAGGGACCAGTCTAAACCTGGCCATACACCTATAGATTATCTGCAGATTTTCTATGGTCAGATGGAAGACTGCAACAGATTCCTCCATCTACGCTAAACTGTGTGGATGAAGGAATCTCCCACTGGGCCTACCTTCTGTATCTTTCTAATCGGCCTGGCTGGCTGTCAAAATACCTGAGCAATGCCTGCATCCAATCAGATTGTTCAGGTATTTTGAGAGCCAGCGGGGCCGACTAGCAAGATATTGAAGCTTGGCCCAGTGGGAGATCCCTCCATCCACACACTTTAGCGTAGCTGGGGGAATCTATTGCACTGTATCCATCTGACCATAGAAAATCTGAAGATAATCCACAGGTGTATGGTCAGCTTTAGAGCAGGCCGGCTTGAAGGATCAGGTGAGCATAACTTTTTTTATTCTAGCACCTAAATGAAAACATGCACTTAACCCTTGCAGTTCGGGAGCAGCCCCACTGCAAGTGTTAACAACAGCTTTGCTGGGAATTCTGCTTTAAGCTGGCCATACACTGTGTGAATTTCGGTGGGTTCTCAATGAACTTGGCAAAATTAGTTCAATATGTGGCCCTGTTGGCAGGTTTCTGTCTGGCATCCTTTGAACAGGAAATCAGGTGTGTAACCAGACTGAAAGTTTTTTGGCGAACAGTGGCGCCACACCTGCCACTGTCAAAATACAATAGCCCAGTGGGAGATTTATCCATACATGCTATTTAGTTTACATGCATAACAGTGCATGGCCAACTTTTATTAAAGCCTCATTATACACTTGTACTTGGGACAGTCTCACAAATTGCTCTGAGTGATTCAGGCAAACAGCTGAGGGCAAGAAGCACTATACAAAGCAATAACAGCTGGTAGGGCCCGCAGTCACTCCCTGCCATTTGCATGTGTAGCGCCCCCCTGACCCCCAAAGGCAGGGAGGGCTGACATTTCACTCTCAGGGACAGATCCTTAGCCAGTGAAGGGACATGTGATCAATAAAGTTGGGTCTAAAAAGTGCCTTTTTAGAATGCTTTATTGCAGAACAGCATTCAGACAGCAGTCTCATAGAGAAATTCATGAGACTGCCCCAAAGGCAAGCGTGAATGGGGCTTAAAGTGTATCTTAACTCAAGCAACCATTACATGTGGTAGCTGTATCAGTTTCCTTTCATTAGGCTTTTTCCCCTTTATTTTCCCCTGGTGATCCTGCCAATAACACCATTATTGTCCTAGGGATGACAACTCGGTGTACAGTAGCTATAGAGGAGCAGCGTTGTCACCCTAGGCTGCTCTCCTGATTTGGACTAAAAACTCATCGTCCTCTCCTCATCTCCACTCCATAGACGGGAGATGTTATGTTGCCCACAGAAGAGAGCTGAGAATGCACAATGTGTGAGATTTCAGTTTACTACACAGGAAGTTACAAGGACACAAGACAGGATCAACAGGTAGTTTTGTAGTTCCAGAAAATGTACTTGAGAAGGGAAAACGAATGCAGCCACCACATTTAAAGACCGATAAACAGCGCTATAAGTTACATTTTTGCTCTTGAAAAAAAACCTTGAAAAATACTTCTATTTAAATGTCTATGGGGCTAAAAACACTTGATTCTGTTTCTGTAGAGCAGGGGTGGGCATTTCCGGCCCTCCAGATGTGCTTTACCTACAAATCCCAACATATCTCTGCCAATGGGACTTATGCCTGTAACTGTCAGTCTAGCAATGCCTCATGGGACTTGTAGTTCCACAAAGGCTGGAGGGCCGGAGCTTCCCACCCCTGCTGTAAAGCATACAAAAGCTGGAAAACAGCTCATACAAGTGTGCAGAAAAAAAGGTTTGTAAACCACCTACCTACACTCATGCTAAGGTGTGAATGCAGTCTTATTTGTGTAACCAAAACAGGTCCATTGTTTGCTCGCAGACCTGCAGATTGTACGGGAGAGGTATGTCTGCGTCAGTGATGTTAAAACATTCATTGCATTAATAACATTTCCTGAAAGGCCAGCTTGGCACGCGACCTACACATTATTCGTCATGCTGTTTACAGTGATCCATCCATGTTGTGTTTGGAGAAGACTGTGTACTGGTTACAGCTTTGCTAATCTACAAATGACACCCTTCACTGGCACTTCCTAAACATGTTTTTATTACATAATGGCAGTATGATGAAGTGATGATATGATAATGAACACAATCCTATGTTAGTGAACGCTACGAATGCTCTGATTTAATAATACACTGAGTACTATACCTCAGGTATTCCTCCTCTCCCTCAGAGATTGCACACTTGCCTGTTTACACCTGCATACAATGCCAGCCTATGTTCCTCACTTCACATTCCGGAGATCATTGCCATAGGTTTCATCATTCACAATTAAATTGAGCTGCAGGACTGTAATACTGTGTGAGCCCAACATGACTGATAAAAACCGAATAAAAAAGCAGCACTAGATTGCATTTGTAAAAGTGTTGTCAATGGCAACCAATCAGAACCAGTTGTGCAGTGGGGCATATTACACTGCAGTATTATGAGGTCAGTGTCCAGCCTCAATCACCTTTCACCGTTTCGAGTGTTTACAGAGTTCTGGTTTGTTTCCCAGATTTACATCTGATCTGGGATCATTTAGAACGCAGTACTGATATCACTGTCCACTCTCCACTCTAAATTGCAATGTAACACGGTGGCCTGCATTTTACAGCGCATTCATAACACGCATGCTATGGAATTAAGCTTCCAGTGCCCAATTGAGTTCTCCCGGCTTTACGTAACAAAGAGAGTGGAGGAGAGACGGTCAAAGGATTTTGACAGTTCATGTGACTGGGTTCTCCTCCCCATTATTTTTTTTCCTACTTTTCTGATGTAGCTGCTCATTTCAGCACCGGCTGTGATGAAGGAAGGAGTGGGAAGGGAGCACAGGCAATGTCAGTATAAGAGTGTCGGGGCCCCTTGCAGAGACACTGTCACTTTGCCCTGCATGAGTATGGTGAAAGCATCCCCTTAAATAGAGCAGGGAGGGTTTAGAACCTCGGTTGTGTTTTTACTGCTGTCTTTGCTATGTGCCATCCCATCCTTTCCCAATGGCACTAAAGGAGGAAAAGTGAAATCTCCCCAACAAGTACTCAGAGAGCAATACAACCCTGGCATAAGTTTTAAGACCCCATTCATAGCTGCGATGGGTCTCACTGATTCCCCTGTGAGACTCATGCGATCTGATGCGGGTATACAATACAATGACAGCTGCCACCACCCAGAGCTGTTTGCAGCCCATTTACATGTAATCACACAGGCTCTGATTACCCGCGGATGACCGCACCTGGACGCAGGCTGTTCATGGAGGAATCTCCTAATACGCACGTGATCGGCCCAATCATTCCAGTTCACGATGTGATGTAAAACATCGCTTTTTATTCAAATGGGTGAAACTTCTTTTTATTAAAGGCCACCTCCAGACAAAACGTAACCCCCTTCCTACACCTCTCTCACTCATGTTGGAGGGATTTAGCAGGCCCACACCCTACAAATTGCCTCCAGAAAACTACAGGGGTGTGGGGAAGGGGCGGATACAAGACCAGTCACCTTGCACAAGAAGAAAGAGCAGCAGTGACTGGTCTTTATTACAGGAAACTCCTGCACAGAGGCAAAGTGTCATGCTGGATTACTGCACAGATCTGGAAGAAGTAAGTAAGTACAACGTAAGAATACTCATGCCTCTTTCATGTACATCCCTCGTGTTCAATCTTTGGCACTTTATGTGCCTCCCTTAGGGCCCCTGAACACAGTAATCAGTGTTTCCTATTGTCTTGTAATAGTGGTGATTGATCTCTAGAAGTCTCATGTAATGTGTCTCCAGTCTATGTCTCCTGAAACATGTCCACAAGCAACTCCGATAGCATGTTAGCAGTCTCTGACCATCTATTGTAGCAAGCCTGTAGTCTTTTACTATATGCTTTTGCATGTCTGCAGTCTCTGACAACTTTCTGTAGCTTGACATTCTCTAAATATATTGTGCAGCCCTTTAGGGATGTCAGGGGCCACATCTGATGCTCCCCAAGATCAATAACGTTGACCACCACTGATTTAGACACTATTTGCTTATCCAGGAGTTCTGCTTTAGTGTATCTCTCCCTGCCCAAAATGTTTCTAAAGTAACAACAGTGCTGAAGGTAGCAAACAGTATATAACAAAAGCGCCAACGACTTGTGTCCAAAACCGGAGAATGACTGCAATGATCTCAAGCAAAACCGCAGATGGTGCAAGCTCTCAGATAGGCTATAGGGGAGCCTCAACTCTGAAAGAAACAAAAGACAAAGAGCGCCTCCATCGCGTAAAAACGTTTTAATGAAATGGGTTTTAAACAAGTGAAACCATACTCACAAAAGTAGAATTTTTACAGGCATACATGGATGAAATCGTGAAAGAGCTTAGCCCACCGGCTACTCTTCCTCCCTGAGGTTAACGTTTCCGAGGCCACGCCTCCTTCGTCAGAACCAACCTGTAAAAATTCTACTTTTGTGAGTATGGTTTCACTTGTTTAAAACCCATTTCGTTAAAACGTTTTTACGCGATGGAGGCGCTCTTTGTCTTTTGTTTCTTTCAGTGCTGAAGGTAGGCTGAGTTCACACCTAGGCGTATCGAATATGCGCGTTTGTCGCACGTTTCGTGACGCGTGTTTTTACAGCGATTCGCGCTAAAAAAACGAGCGACAAACGCGTGTTTCCGAGGGCTACTTGGTTGTATCCCAATGGAAACGCGCAACATAAACGCCCCAAAGAAGCTCCTGTACTTCTTTGGGCGTAGGACGTTTTGTAGCGCGTTCATACAGCCTGTAATATGCCCAGGTGTGAACCATATCCATAGGAAATAATGGGAAATAATGGGATTTCGGTGTTTGAGCGTTTTGCAGAGCGTTCGAACGCGCTACAAAACACCCAGGTGTGAACCGGGCCCAAATGTTCTTTGTGGAGCCTGGGAGCTAATGACTGTGTTAGTCCTAAAACCGATCACTGTTCCCTGTGGAGCCCCTTGGATCCTAGATCCAGGCTCTCTAGAGGGTCTCAATAGCTGCCCAAGTCAAGATGAAGTCCCCTATTTTGATTATCTTTCAAAGGGCCCTTTACTGCTCACAGTGTTTGAACGTTGATTGACAGGGGCAGGATATAAGGTTTAGAGGGGACTGGACTTATTCTTGACTTGTAGGGAAGTCTAGGCCCCATGTACAGCATTGGCCTAGAATTTAAAGAGCTACACAGTGACACATGAATCAATCTGAAGTCCAACACAAGTACTAGCAGGGATTTCTTCCCCCCCCCCCTTTTAGACTGTAAGCCCTCAGGGGCAGGGCCCTCCTTACCATCTTGTCTTGAATTGTATTGTGATTGTAATGTCTCCCTTATATTGTAAAGCGCTGAGCAAACTGTTGGCGCTTATAAATCCTGTATAATAATCACACATTGCATGTCAGCAGTGTTGTTACCTTAAAAACGTTTTATATATAATGGAAGCTACTAATATAACCAACATCTAGCTGCACAAAATAAGACTTCTTTGCAATGCATTATTGGAAATTTGGGATTTCTGTTTGCTTATTTCTATATAATTTACTGTAGTAAAGATTCTTCATGCAGCGTAATTATGTTTGATTTATTCAGTGACAGGTAAACTTTAAAAATAAAGAATGTTTGTAGTCATATAGCTTCTGCTCTGCTTTATGAATTAGAAGGAAAAAAAAGCTAAACTGAGTATATGACTTAACCTTAGACACCTATAGGTGCCAGCACATACTGGCACCTATAGGTGGCACTGGGGCCCGGTAACCTGGGCGCTCTAATATAGAATCTGAAACTCCCTAGCAATGTTCAGAGCTAGACCATCCTTTCCAAACTCCAGCAAATTTTTAATTGCAGTGATAGGCACAGGGCCAGATTTCCCACAAGGCCAACCAAGGCTCGGCCTCGGGGCAGCAGGGAGTAGAGGGGCAGCAGGGGTGTGGGCAAGCAGAGCTAAATGTACAGCAGGGAAGGTGTTGCTTGTTTTCTACAAATGATCTCGGTGATTTTGCCGAGATCACTATCGATTATGTCGATTAGTTGTTGCAGCCCTACTTGTATGCAGCCTGCAGGTCTGCCATTCTCCATGGGGAGGGGGGCGCATTGAAAGGAACCTGACCTTGGGACAGCAGAGATAGAAATCCGGCCCTGGATGGGCAGATTCAACAACAAATAGGAAGGTGACGGGATATCACTGGAAATTACACCGGAAACACAGATTAGGGGACATTCTCAATAGGGACACCTGTCCTAATGATGACTGTGAAATGTGTGATTTCCCTTACTTTGAGGAGATTTTTTTTTCACTTCCTGTCATGTCTCCTGGATAGGAAGTCAAGGGAACCCTGATCAGGTACACAGACCGCAATAACACCCAACAAAGGTTCTAATCCTTCCCCACTCTATCTAAGGCAAATAAATACCTTCGGTTTTATAAGCACAGTTATTTGTAACACAAAAAAAAAAAGCATTCTTGCTTTATCACTTTAGGCTAGGTTCACACCTAGGGGATTTATCCACGCGATATCGCAAAAACAAAGATTCTCATTGAAGTCAATGGGGCCTGTTCACACCTACTAAATCACCTGTTGCGCAACAAAAACGCAAAACCAGCTCATCGGCTCACAAGCCTAGGTGTGAACCCAGCCTCAATAAGGCAGAAGAACTGTTAGGCCATGTTCACACCAGGGCGGTTTCGTTTTTCAGCACTGAAACGCCAACATTTAAAATCTCATACATTCCTAAGGTGGGCGTTCACGCAAACGCGAGTTCCAATGCACCTGTCGCCTGAAATGCTCCCTGAGCTACTTTTGTAGCGCTGAAAAGCATGTTTTCCCTATAGAAAATGATCAGCGCGCATAAAAAACGCACTTCCAGAAGACGCACGTAGAACGCGCTGAAACGATGTCGCCCTGGTATGAATGGGCCTTCAACAACTTAAACAGCTAAGTTTTGCATGCTATATTAACACATCCTTTAGATGTCATCCTGTTATTTGCCTAAAAAACATGCCGGCAGTAAACCACACATTTACTTTACAAAATACTCTGGTTGCATTGTTCCTTTGCTGCAGGTTTCCATAAAGACCAGCTGTATTTATCTCTCCTGCTTCCAGACAAACATGACTGTGCAGACAAAAACTGTCACTACTATTATACCAACAAGGCCTCACACACAAGTACTCCTTTCTGCATAGTAGCGAGTATGGTTCTATTAAAGCATGGTTCCAATACTTTCTATGCCATAGGTTGGCAAGAGGTCTACTTATCGGTTGCGGCCATGTGGCAGGTAGATCGCAACCCTGCCAGCGCTGGGCATCCAGGGCACATGCCCAGCATCTCTTCCTGGGTACTCCAGGTCCTGATCACAATTTTTTTTTAACCAACTGTGAGGAGGCGGTTCATTGTCCAAACAAGTGTGAGGAGGGGATTCAGTGTCAGATCAGGTGTGAGGTAGGGGGTTCAGTGTCTGAACAGGTGTGAGGAGGGGTCAGTGTTGGATCAGGTGTGAGGAGGGGGTCAGTGTCAGATCAGGTGTGAGGAGGGGTTCAGTGTCTGAACAGGTGTGAGGAAGGGGGTCCAGTGTCTGAACAGGTGTGAGGAGGGGGTCAGTGTTGGATCAGGTGTGAGGAGGGGGTCAGTGTCGGATCAGGTGTGAGGAAGGGGGTTCAGTGTCTGAACAGGTGTAAGGAGGGGGTCAGTGTCGGATCAGGTGTGAGGAAGGGGGTTCAGTGTCTGAACAGGTGTAAGGAGGGGATTCAGTGTCAGATCAGGTGTGAGGAAGTGGGTTCAGTGTCTGAACAGGTGTAAGGAATAGGTGTATGGGGGTGCAGTGTGGAACAGGTGTGCGGGGATTCAGTAGTGGAATAGATGTGCGGGGGTGCAGTGTGCAACAGGTGTATGAGTATGATGTGGTGGAATAGGTGTTTGGGGGTGCTGTGGTGGAACAGGTGTGCAAGGGTGCTGTGTGAAACAGGTGTATGGATGTGCAGTAGTGGAATAGGTGTGTGGGGGTGCTGTGGTGGAACAGGTGTATGGGGGTGCAGTGCTGGAATAGGTTTATGGGGGTGTAGTGTGGAACAGGTGTATGGGGGTGCAGTGCTGGAATAGGTGTACTAGGGTGCAGTGTGGAACAGTTCTATGGGTGTGAAGCGGTGGAATAGTTGTGTGGGGTTGCTGTGGTGGAACAGGAGTAATGGGGTGCTATGGTGGAAGAGGTATATGGGTGTGCAATGGTGGAACAGGTGTATGAGGGTGCAGCAAGGAACAGGTGTATCAGTGTGTAGTGGTAGAACAGGTGTATGAGGGTGCAGCAAGGAACAGGTGTATGGGTTTGCAGTGGTGGAATAGGTGTATTACTGTCATGAAAAAAAATATGTGAATGAAAGTTTTTTTTACTGAAGCTAAAGGTAGGTTACGTTTATATTTTTACAGTCAGGCAATAACATGATAAATACCTCAACCATATGTGTGATTGGCTTTGCTTGTAAGTCTTCTTCTCTGAAAAGTATTGATTTCATCTTAGGCAACTGTCATCAGAGGGTTAAATTACATGTAGACAGGCAGTTAAAATGACATGAGTAGACGAGCTCTATGTCACTTTTGTTATGGTAAACCAGCATAATGTACAGAGACTCCTTCTGTACATTACAATGGTGTACATCTAAATATCTGTTTGTTGTTCCACTTTCCCTGTCAACCTTTGAATTTTGTCATCTGCCACAAAAAGAAAATCTCTCAAATAAAGCTTGTTTTAACAATGGTGAATCAAATGCTTGTTAAGTCTTATATTGACAAACAGGGAAGTCACAAACCAGTTAGGGAACTTTACTTAACAACTCTAAACTTTGTAAGACTGGAGATAAAAAGCCCATTATTCACAACCTTCAGTCTAACCTTCCTTCATTTATATGAAAGAATCAATGTTCAATCCATACAGGTCACCTTTGAGCAAGGATTATGGTGGGTACTGTAACAGCAAAGGATGGGCGAAAGTCTTCCTGCCTTCCATTTAATGGGGGGAGATATCTGCTCTTCAGTTGTCAGACTAAGGGGGTTGTTCACAAAGCTCCCGAAGGCAGCCTCGGCTATTCAAAGACTGTTTGGCTATTCACTACGGCTCAGTACAGCTGATTTCTGCTCTGCATGTTCGTCTGAGCCGAAGTACAGAAGAACTTCGACTCAGCTGATCCAACATCAACATCCAGCACGCTACTCGCTGCCGTTCTCCCCTATTCACAAAGGGGCCGAACGGCATTGAGTGAATAGC